TTTTTTTTTCCCCTTATTTATTTATTTTTTATTTATTGTAAATTTGTAGGAGAAAACAGCTTTCTTGTTTTGCCAACAAGACAGGGCTATCTTATGCAGTGATTGTGATATCTCCATACACAAAGCCAACAAGCTTACTCAAAAGCACACAAGATTTCTCCTAACCGGAATCAAACTCTCCCCAAATCCGACTCCTTATTCCGATCAACCGCTGTCCTCGGAATCCACAAACTCGACGAACAACAAATCATCCGCAGTCGTTCCCGGAGTGAAAAAGCCCGAGAGCGCCAAACCCGTTAGCTCGATTGCCCCGGTGTGTACACCTCCCAAAGCCAAGTGTACAACTGCCCAAAGCACACTGGCCTTGGCGCCGGAGAAAATTAGTGATGAGCCTTTGATGGGTTTCGATTGCTCGGCAAGTAGCATCTCCGAGTACGTGGAGACGTTGCCCGGTTGGCACGTTGAGGATCTTCTTCACTCTTATTCTCCATCTCCTTATGGTTTTTCCAAGGTTTGTTACTTCAACCTAGACACCTAAACTTCTAAAAGACTTGTGTTTGATGAGGGAATTAGTTGATTGTAGAATGTGGAATATGTTGTTAGATAGCTTAAACGTTAGACAAGTCGATGAATATTTTCACGTTTTATATGCGAAGTTATTATAGAAGTATATACATTTGGCTAATCGCTAATATTTAGGTCTATTTAAGGGCGTTATATATTTGCTCAAAATTTTTCTGTTAGCTAGAGTTAGTTTGAAAAAGGTACGTAGTATGGTTAGTTGTCAGTGAGATTTTGAGTTTGAATTAAAATAATATTAAAAATAAAATAATTATAGTTGATTTGATAGAAAGTATGAGAGATATGATGTGAACTAATAGCTAATTTAAATTATATGAGTGGATGAATAGTGAATTAAAATTAGTGTGATGTGTAAGAATGATTGACTTATATTATTTAACTATATTGATAATATTGAGTATAGTGGGGTTGAGTTAAAATTGAGTTAGATTTTAAGTATGAATTGAAAAAATTTATAAATAAGTGGTGGTTATGAAATTTTTGTGCTAATATCTTGTAACATACCTTACATTACTATCACATTGGAGAATGTAGAAAATGTCATTAGGCAGCTTAAACATTAGACAATCGATGCATATTTTCACGTTTTATATGCAAAGTTATTGTAGAAGTAAATATATTTGGCTAATATTGAGGTCTATCTAAGAGGTGATTATTAATTTTTTGTGCTAACATCTTGCAACACCTTACATTACTATCACATCAGAGAATGTGAAAATGTCGTTAGGCAACTTAAACATTAGACGGTCGATGCATATTTTTTACAATTTATATGCAATGTTATTGTAGAAGTATTTTTATTTGGCTAATATTTAGGTCTATCTAAGAGGAGATTATGAAATTTTTGTGATAATATCTTGTAACACACCTTACATTACTATCATATGGTCACATTAAAGGGCACTAACAATTAGTAGTTTACACTAATACTAGTGAATGGTGGTTAGATTTTTTTCAAACAAAATTTTCATACTTCAAAACATCTATTCTAAATTAGTGAGACTATCTAACTTACATAAACAAACTTCTTAACTTGTCATGTGTAAGTTGCTAACACTTGCATCAAATTGCATTCTCCTAACAATTTGGGGTATAGAAATAAAATATTTTGTTTTTTAATTGATTAAATTTGATAAAGTTGATTGAGTGTGATTTTAAGTTTGTATTTATATAACATTTGATTAAAGTTGCTTTAATATAAAAGTAAGAAATATTTGATTTTAAAATGATGGATAATTAATAATGTATGAGTGGATGAACATTGAATAAAGTTGATGTGATGTGTGATAATGATTGATTGAGATTGTTTGATTATATTTGTTATCATGATTTTTTTCGAAATTGTAATTTAATCACGACTTTTTCACTTTTGTAAATTATATCACAATCTTCAGTTTGTTGCAAATTGGTGCACCGATTTGCATTTCTCGTTATATCACAATTTTCAGTATGGAGGAGATGAAATGCTGCAACAATTCTGGGATCAAGCTGAAATTCAGGGCAACATGAGTGCTTTTTCAACAGAAAAAATGGGATTTGGTGTCCCACCTTTGCAGCAACAAACACACAATCAATCATATCAATGTATGGATCAGTTTGATTTTGGGCTCCCTTATGGATCAACTGAGCAGGCCAAGGGTTTTGTGATGACCAATTATGATAATGGCAATAATAATAATAATAATAATAATAGTTATATAATGATCAAGCCCACCAGAAATAGAAGTGAAGACAACTGCTTTGCTGTTCCACAGTTCAGTCCACATCTCAATGTCTCTAAGAGATGAACTTCTTTTTTTATTAGTGACAAGCTTAGGATTCCAATTGCTCAAATCACTTGTGTTTGATTTTCCTCAATTTTTGTTTTGTATTTGGTGTATCCTTTTTTCCCTTTTATTATTAGTGTATTTTTCCCCTTTTCTTGTTCCTTTGGATTTTTTTTTTTAATGTATAATGATGGGCCATGTTTGCTGTTCATGATCTTTCTTGTCTGGAGATATCTATCATTGCTGTAAGAAATTGGG